CTTCAGCTACTTCAGTTGCATATTTCAGATGGATGGAGGTGGGTGTAGTATAGATTAGGCCTAAGTCATATAAATGTGATCAAGCTACTGCCACTACCAAGATTTCCTTCCTAGCTAGATACTTTTCAAAAAGTATTAATATTTTTTTTAAAGTCTTAGGATTTTTAACTTTCACATCTGATGATAAAAATACCCTGATGTGATGAATCATACTCTGTTAACTCAAAATATTGGGAAAATATCACATCTGAATTTTTAAATTGCATTGTTCAGCTGCTGCTATGAGAAACAGCATGAAATCTTCCCACTCCAGTATGCCAAAAGCAAAGCTACTAGCTTGAAGTGCAATACGTACTGGAATCCTTACATCTGGATAGATAATCCATCTCATCTCACCGGAGGCTCTGTTCCCAAAGGGAGGTAGAGGGGAAAGAGCCCATGCCTGATAAACACATTCATATAACAAATTACTGTAACAGTTCGTAGACCTTTACTCACTTTTTGCCAATTCACCTTGCAATTAAGGTATATTTGTAAGCCCAAGTATCAAACACATCTCCATGAGTCAGAAGCAAGGCTGGGCAAAATACAGCCCAGGGGCCAAATCCGGCCCACGGACCACCCTGCTGGGACCCTCAGGCACTCAGCTGCTGCAGTTTAAAGCGCAGTCCATACAGCTTATCTGCTCTGCAGGGAGGGGGAGGCTTTGTGTGATCTCCCTGTCCCCAGCCCAATCTCTCAGCTCCTATTGGCTGAAAAATACACAGCCAAAAGGAGTTGAGAGATTGGCCTGCGGAATGGGGGCAACACAAGCCTCTTTTCCTTCCTGGCGCTGAGAGTCGGGTGGAGGGAACAAACCTGCGGTTTCAAGTGATCTGGGGCTGCAGCAGGCAGGGAGCCCAGCCTTTCTTCGGGGTGCTGCAGGGCTGCTGGCCTAGATAAGTACTTCCCAGTCAGAGGCTGCCTCTGGCACCCCTACCCCTCCTGCATCCCAACTCCTTCACCCAGGTCACCATCCAAATACTCAATGCCCCAGGTCACAACTCCTTCCCAGACCTTGTACCCCTCCTACGACCATCCCCCAGGCCAGAATCCTCTCCTGCACCCAAACACCTTCCCAGACACTGCACCCCAATACCCTGTCCCAGGTCACCACCCAAACCCTCTGCAGTCTGCACCCCCTTTTTCCCAGGTCACAATTCCTTCTCAGACTTTGCACCTCCTCCCAGAGCTCCTCCCCCAGGCTAGAATCCCTTCCTGACCCTACACTCCAATCCCCTGACTCAGGTCACAATCCGCTCCTTCACCCAAACTCCCTCTCAGACCTCATGCCATCTCCTGTGCTCCAGTCCCTGTGCACTCATAGACTTTAAGGTCAGAAGGGACCATTATGATCAACTAGTCTGACCCCCTACACAGTGCAGGCCACAGAATCTAACCCACCCCTCCTAGAATAATCCTCTCACCTATATCTCATATATTGAAACCTTCAAATAGTTTGAAGACCCCAAGATGCAGAGAATCCTACAGCTGTGACCTGTACCCCATGCTACAGAGGAAGGCGAAAAACCTCCAGGGCCTCTGCCAATCTACCCTGGAGGAAAATTCCTTCCTGACCCCATATATGGCGATCAGCTGAACCCTAAGCATGTGGGCAAGACTCACCATCCAGACACCCAGAAAGTTCTCTATAGTAACTCCTATCATCCCTCCATTGACCTATTTACCACTGATAATGAATGGTTTCTGTACCCAGCCTCCATCCTAGATCCTGCATCTCTTCCACAGAAAAAAATCTTGGAGTGGCCCCCCACCAAAAATTATTGCCCATCCCTGGTCAGGAGGGGGGATGTTGGAATATGTAGTTTGTTACAACTTTCAGTCTGTGTCTAGTGCGGATAAAGGCTAAAAGGGCCAACTCACAGAGGTAAATAAGTCCCAGGATTTTTGCCTCTGAATCTTCAGGGAGATCTGAAGACTTCATAAACCGAGGCTCCACTTAGATACTCTGTATTCCCCCTACTAGGCTAGAGCAGAGGTTCCCAACCGCTGGTGTGTGGACCAGTGCCGAGCCGCAAACCACTGGCTGCCAGGCCGCAGCACAGTGCCAGGCCATGCCCATGCCTTAATGATTGGCTCAGCAGGACTCTGGAGCAAGACCCAGTCTGCCCAGAAACTCCCCTTCTCCTGTCCCTGGGATTGTCTCTTCTCCCTGTGCCCAGCACTGCGTTGGCTCCTTTGCATGATGCTGCCTAGGTATGTTAAATTCCGATGAATTACAATTTGCATCGACTATTTAATTAGTCAGTAAGGGTGCCTCCACCTTTGAAGTGCAGAAACAGCCCCAGGGCTGCTGTTACACTTCAAAGGTGAAAGCGCTGCGGGGAGTCCCCCACTAGCCCTGTGCTCCCCATGGTGTTTCGAAGTGACAGCACCCATGGAGCCCAGGATCAGCTGGGGACTGTCTTGCTCCAGGCTCCTTAGTGCTCTGCCATTTTGAAATGCTGCGTTCAGTCTGGGAACTCCCCAGCTGGCCCCGGGCATCACCCCCAGCCTGGCCAGACCAGCTCCTGCCCCATGGCAGGCAGTGCTTGGGGGACAAGTAAGAGAGACCCCCCCCCTTCCCCTCCCAAGAGCAGTGCTCTAGGGCTATGGGGGAGGGAGGGAGAAGGTTTGGTCCTTGGCTGCTCCCAGCAGAGTTGGCTGCGATCCCTGCCCGGGGCCAAGGGAAGCTGTTGCCAGCTCCCATCATTTGCAGGGTGGGAGTAGCCAGCCCGGGGGGGGGGGGTGTCTGAAGAGGGGCAGATAAGGGAATGAGGGGGAACAGGGATGTGTGAGGAGGGAGATGCAGGAGGTGCTGAAGGGAGGTTGAGGGGGAGGAAGAGCAGCCTGGCTGCAGAAGAGAGAGAAATAGGGCAGGGGTTGTACGGAAGTAGATGGGGGAGATACAATGGCAGTTCCCCTACCCCAGGGGGCAGGAGCGAGGAGGGCAGAGGTGACTGGTGGATAGCACTTCGGAGCACCATCTCCTATGCTACTGACAAAATTTCAGTTGCTAAATAGGGTTCTTCACATGCCCCCTGCATCCCTCCCTTTGCAGACACTAGTCACCCCTGGGGGAGGGACTGCCCCACCTAACAGCCCAGAGGGGAATTCTGTGATTTTTTTTTTAGTATTATAGATGTGTGCAAACTCTGATCTGTTACAGCATGTATTGCAGAGTGATGTGATATAAAATAACATGTGACCTCTTAAAATTAATTACCATAATGAATATGCAAATATTCAAATAAAATGTTACCAGTCCGCCAAAAGTTTGTGAACAGGTTTGCCAATCCATGTTTTAAAAAGGTGGGAACCACTGGGCTAGAGAACTTAGAAGTGAGCTGAATACTGGGATCTACTCCAGGTTATTGCGTATGTGGTAGAAGACTTCTAATTCCACACTGGATACAGTTAAACACCTGATACGGGAGATAGGATGGGTTTATACCATCCTAACCCTTGTTAAGCAAATGAAGTTGTAGCCTACTGTTTAACATCCATTCTAGTGATTGTCTGTCTTTCACGCATTTTCTGATCAATGAAGCATTATTTATGCACCCTCTTGCTTATGCAGCAATAATTATGTGAAGGAAAATATAAGAGAGCGTATGTTGCAAAGGCAATCTTGACTTAGCCCCTACAGACAACACAGAGCTCCTAGCTGCTAATTGTTCAAGTGATCATTAAAGAACTAAGGATAGCTGTACTGACTAAAATGCCTTTGTTTCAGGAAAAAGAATTCACATACAATGAGGCCATGCAAACACTGATAAGCAAAGGAGTCTCTACCAGTATTTGCCGCATTCCTTCCCTTGCTACTTTATTTTCCAAGTAGTTGCTTTGTCCTAGTATAAAAGTACTTTATTTCATCCTCTCTGTCATTAGTTATTGCAACTCAATAAAATTAAGTTCTTCTTAGAACCTGTGAGTATTGAGAAGAAAGCACAGAGAAAGGCAAATCATAAAGGGTACTGTCGGGAATAAGTGCCCTATTATCTTCTATTTCCAGTACAAAAAATTAACAGAGAGATGTGGGCAACAGAAATATAATCAAAGTTAACAAAAGAGGAAAGAAAAGATATTTAGAAATATTGTTACATATGAGAGAGCTACCTGGATTCCTGGATTTTAAGGCCAGAAATGGACCCTGTGTAATTATCTCGTCCAAAAATAAGGCAATTCAAAGCCACATCTGTATGTACAGTTGTAATTTCTATTGCTGACAGTTGTAGCCTCTTTCATAGATTTTCTTTTATGGGGGAAATAATCCTCTAATATTTATTCTTTCCTTCATCAGATTGTGCTCTTGTTTTTTTTTATCTTGTAACCTTCCCAAGCAGTTGTGACATTTTCTATCATTTTCAGCACTATTAAGATGTAATATCTTTTGCAATTGTCCAGTCCTTTCATTCCTTGATTTTAACATTAAGTTGCATAAAACACTTGTTAATTCATAAACTATATTTACCAGGTCATTCTCTTTGCATTAAATTGTCTTTTTACTGGCTGGCAATCATATAATTTTTATATATGCATCCACACTTTGTTGAATTGTTTACTAGTGTACAGTACAATATTCCCTCCTATTCATAGTGACTGCAACATCAGTGAATGTGCATAGACTTAGAGAGCGCCCTAGTGGTATAATTGTTGTAACACAACACTGAAAGATTTATATGCACAGGTAAAACTAATGAGGAGTTCTGTGGCACTTGAATTTATTAGTCTTTAAGGTGCCACAGGACTCCTCATTGTTTTTGCTGAAACATTAACACAGCTACCCCCCTGAAACAGGTAAAATTGTATCTTGGACATACTAAACAATTAGTACATTTAATATTTATAGCTGGGTAGTTACATAGACTTTAAAATGCTATTTCTTCTGTGGAATAACTAGTTTTGTATTAATAGTACTAGTGGTTAATGTATGTATTTCACTATGTTTTTACATTTAGATTTATGGAAAATTTACAAACAGAGGTTCAAGAAATGGAATTCATACAGTTTTCAAAGGGTCTGAACTTCATGAGAAAAGAGGACTTTGCAGAATGGTTATTATATTTCACAGATGAAGAAAACAATGAAATTTACTGGCAAAATGTGAAAGAGAGAATCCAAGCAGGAGAGGTTGGTATATTGCATGTATTATTTTTGTTTTGCTTTCATATTTTAAATTTTCTAATTAGATAAGCATGTACCAAAAATGGGGTTATTTTCAAATAGAGGAGTTCTTACAGTCTTTCAGATTTAATGTTGCTTTCCATAAACACAGTGATTGTTTTTAATGACTAGACAATAGCAATATTAAAGGTAATAGCCACAATAATACCTACATAATAGAATCAAAGGAAATAGTCTTCTTTGGTTTTGGATTTATTATCAAAGATACCTAATTTGAATTATTTGGTACTCTAGAATATCAGTTTGGATGAATTCAAGACATTTTGCCAGTTTACAAATCGCTTAGAAGACTTTTCAATTGCCATGCAAATGTTTACTGTAGCCAATCGTCCTGTCAAATTGGGTAAGTAGTAGAAAACTTAGTATATTTACCTTTAAATAACAGGAAGAATACTTCATAGAGAATGTGTGAATAAGTTATCTCTAAAATTAGCACTGTAGACTCCAAAAACTATACTATTAAAATTTTAATCCAAATAAATTTAGCTTGCATGTATAATAGTAGCATTTATAACCACAAGTATTTAGGATTTCTAAATTCTGACATATACTGTTAATATATATCATTCATATGAGTCTGAATGTGCTTTAGTAATATCTAAGGGTATGTCTACTCTAGCTCGTTAATTCGAGCTAGGTAGGCAAATCAGGCAACCGGAGTTGCAAATGAACCCCGGGATTTAAATATCCCAGGCTTTATTTGCATGTTCCTGTCCGGCCACCATTTTTAAATCCCCCTTAGTTCAAACGAACTGCCCGTGGCTACATGCGGCAGTTTAAAGCTAATCTGAACTAAATTCTTAGTTCGGATTAACTGTTACACCTCATTCCACGAGGAGAACTCTGGTTGCCTGATTTGCCTGCCTAGCTCGAATTAACGAGCTAGTGTAGACATACCCTGAGTGTATCCTATTTACTTAGTGATATCTAAGTACATTTGATTGAAAGGTTTTAATGCAGTAATGCATGTTTTGTAGCAGATTCATGTCAATAAAGGCCATTAACGGTAGCGGTTTGTTCTTGTAACAAGATGCTGTGATCCATCCTTTTTCATCTTTTTACCTCTAGTCATGTTCTCTACTTTCCCAGTGTCTGCCTAATATTGTGCATCCCCTGCTCTAAGAAATACAGCATAGTTTCTCAGAATCAAATATCTAGATTTTTGAGGAAGGGAGCTGCTATTGTCATCATTACAAGAATGACAAACATCTCTTGATTGCAGCCAGTGGACTGACAGAATTGCCAGACCCCTGGGCAAGGTGTGGAGTCTGGTTCCATGTCCCAGAAGGAGTGAGGTCTCCAATGGAAGGAGCAGGGTTGGGGCAGCTAGTCCTCAGTACCATCTGGTCAAGGTCATGTCTCTTCTGTAAGGGAGCTGCTATTGTCATCATTACAAGAATGACAAACATCTCTTGATTGCAGCCAGTGGACTGACAGAATTGCCAGACCCCTGGGCAAGGTGTGGAGTCTGGTTCCATGTCCCAGAAGGAGTGAGGTCTCCAATGGAAGGAGCAGGGTTGGGGCAGCTAGTCCTCAGTACCATCTGGTCAAGGTCATGTCTCTTCTGTGTCCACCAGCCCTTAGTGCCCCTAAGGCGCTGCAAGTAATTTAAAAGGCACAAGGTTCCGGCCACTGCTACTACTGCAGTAACAGTGGCAACAGCAGCCTTAGGGACTTTTGAGCAGCATAGTTGTACTGACATCAGTTTGTCATGTAGATGAGGACTCGGTCTTTCTGTTCCAAATAACAAAAAGATTAGAAATTGAAGCACTTAAGCACCACACTTAACATTTCCATCCCCCGCTTGCTTCACTCTGTTCTTTTGAGTTGCTTACACAATAGATAAAAGATTTTAGTTTAGTCCTATCGTTAGAGCAAGTTAGGATAATTTGGGTTTTGCAAAACTTTATCAATCACATTTTGGTTTTCTCAAAAATCCAGCTCAGTATGGCTGAGATCTGAGGTCCATTTTATCTGATGCTTCCGAGTTTCAGGTACACACATAATAAAGTGGTCTCTGCTCCAAAGAGCATACAGTCTATGTTGGCTTAAACGACTTCCATGTTCACGCTAAAATTTTAGTATCTAAAGACATAAGTTAAGGCTCCTAAGAACATAAGAACATCATGGTGGATCAGACCAAAGGTCCATCTAGCCCAGTATTCTGTTTTCCAACAGTGGCCAGTGCCAGGTGCCCCAGAGGAAATGTACAGAACAAGCAATCAAGTGATCTATTCCCTGTCACTTGTTCCCAACTTCTGATACCATCCCTGCCCATCCTGGCTAACAGCCATTCATGGACCTAACCTCCATGAATTTATCTAGTTGTTTTTTGCTCTTATAGTCTTGGCATTCATAACATCCTCTGACAAAGAATTGCATATGTTGACTGTGCACTGTGTGAAGAAATGCTTCCCTTTGTTTTAAGCCTACTGCCTAATAATTTCATTTTGTGACCCCCTAGTTCTTGTGTTATGAGGAGTAAACAACACTTCCTTATCTATTTTCTCTACTTCAGGCATGATTTTATAGACCTCAATCTTATTCTTCCTTATTCATCTCTTTTCCGAGATGAAAAGTTTCAGTCTTATTAATCTTTCCTCATACGCTTTTCTGAACCTTTTCCAATCTTTTTTTGAGATGGGATGACCACATCTGCATGATGTATCAAGATGCGGGCGTACCATGGATTTATATAAAGGCAATATGATATTTTCTCCCTTTTTATCTGTTCCTTTCTTAATGATTCCCAATATTGCCAGGGCAGCGCTAAGGGCTGGCAGAAAGAAGGAAGGTGTGGTGTGGTCCAGGTGGCACTGATGGCTGACTGTCCACCCCACCTTGCCCAAGGGCCCGGCAATTATGTCAGCCCCTGTAGTTGCAATAAGGAGATGTTTGTCATTCTTCATAATGATGACATTAGTATCTCCCTTCCTCAAATATTGCAGTCTGGACCTGGCCCCACCACTTCTGCCGAAGGCCACACCCCTTCTGGGAGCACAGAGACTTCCCCTCCACCTTGCCACAGGGGCCTGGTGAGGCTGTTGGCTTCCCTGCCTCTGCACTATCTGTACTGTGTGTGTTCTTTTAATGTTCAGCTTTTATGGCTGATGCTGCACATTGAGTGGATGTTTTCAGAGAATTATCACACTGATTCCAAGATCTCTCGAGTGGTAACTGCTAATTTACACCCCATCATCTTACATGTATAGTTGGGATTATGTTTGCAAATATGTGTTACTTTGCATTTATCAACATTTGATTTCCTAATAAACTTCATATATCAGGTCACTTTTAGGTTTTGGTACAGTCCTTTTTGCATGGATGTTAATCTGTCCTTTTGTTCTGTACTTATACAGCAAATAGCCTAATGCGGTCCTGGTTCTCGACTGGGATATTGAGTGATGGTAATACAGATAATAAAGAATAACATTGCTAAGGGCCTACCTATAAAAAAATTAGTTCATAGCAAGCTGGGATGTGACTCTGTCCTGTGCTAGCCTACCGTGGACTGACTGCAGGGACTTTGCTGATGTGCATTAGCAGTTTGTTAACATGTTTTGATTCAGTCCTCTTTGAAATATGAGTAATCCAAGTGCATTAACAAACTGTTAGTGCACACATTAGCAGGATCTGCATGGACAGTTACTCTGCAACACACTAGTGCAGGGTAGATTAACTCCCCCACTTGCCATAAACTAACTCTTTCTGTTGACAAACCTTTAGGGATGTTTCAGCTTAGAAAAGAGGTGACTAAAGGGGGATATGATAGAGGTCTATAAATTCATGCCTGAAGTAGAGAAAATAGATAAGGAAGTGTTATTTACTCCTCATAACAAGAACTAGGGGTCACCAAATGAAATTAATAGATAGCAGGGTTAAAACAAACACATCCTAAATAACATAGGTTAGGACTCAACCAGTGGTACAAGTACCCCTACGGGTACTCGAGAGAAGTCTGGGGGGTATGTCAACACAACTGAAATTTGGAGAAAACTGAATTTTTGTTTTAAGTTTTACAGCACTTTATTATTTCTGTACTTTTTACACCCAAAAATTTCATCGCCCGCCCAGCTACGATTAAGTTGTTTAAACAAATGAGTTGCAATGGTAGAAAAAAATTGTGTTTCTGAAAACTGTAGGTACTGGGGGTACTTATAATTTTTGTTTGAAAAGGGGTAAAAAAAAAAAAAAAAAAAAAAAGGTTGAGAAACACTGAGTTAGGATACCCAGAAGATATAACTTGGTATAGAATCTTATTTATGATTAAGTTTTTCTTCATTTCTTTCTAATGTGCAATATAACATCATGTTTTTTCTAGCGGAGTTCAAGAGAGCAGTGAAAGTGGCAACAGGACAGGAACTCTCAGACAATGTTTTGGACACAATCTTCAAAATCTTTGATTTAGATGGAGATAATTGCCTCAGCCATGGCGAGTTTCTGGGAGTACTGAAGAATAGGATGCATCGAGGCTTACGGGTAACAAAACTAGAATTGCCTAAAATTTGCTATTAAAATATTTAACTGCCTTTAAATTACATACACGCAAATACATTTTTAAGCTTTTTTTCTAACATTTGTAAAAGTGAAGGCAAAATTAGTAGACAGGGAAAAACATTAAAATCTGATGATTCCTACTACTGCTAAGTATTGAAGAAAAGCAATCCCATTACCTAACATGCACACTGCTCTTAAAAATTCGGATGCTTGTTAAGGATCTGGAATTCAGTGTCTGAGAGTGTCTGTCTATTTAACCATGAACAAAACAACTCTCTGAAGCAAGCATCTCAAAGAAGAGACTCCCAGTGAGTTTTTAATAAGTGTTGTCAAAAGTGTATATGGACACCAATCATGCTGAGCATGCTTCCCCTTCTTTATCACTGCCCCCACATTAACATCCATAACATTTGCATTATGCTGCAAATTGATTTCTCTTATTAGGGTCTATAATCTGCATTTATAATTCTATTTGGAGTATCTCTTATGAGTATAGCTCATCTGTGGTATACAGGAGAAACTGGGAACTTCTAACATCCATAATGTGAGAGAGAGCAGATGTTTAGTAAGCTGGCCTCTTAGTGGTATACTTGTTTTATTTGAGGGCATGTAAATTTGATCAGCATTTATTTTAATTCTCTCTAGATGTATCTATATTTTATATAATTGTTATAGTTAAAGATGGACATGATCCAGAATGACAGATCTGAACTCCCTGATCAATGGAAAAGTTTCAATACAGACTGAAACGCCAGTTTGGGTGTAATACCAATTATAGTGAAATGTTCCACTAAGAGAAAAATGACCTTCACCAGCCAATCAAGGTTAGCTGTTCCCTGTCTGAGAAACACAGGTTGTACAGCAGAATAAGAGGATTTTAACATAGTAAGGTGTCATGAATGCTGATTGACTGGTGTGCATGTAATGATATGCTAATTATGATACTCGGTATTATCCATATGAACTGTGGAAGCAGCAGCATTACAGTGCTGATGTGCTTTTGTGTGTTGAACAGCCATAATGTAGGGAAGATGTTTTATATGTAAAGATGGAACAAAACTCTGTAACTTTGTTATTATTGATAACAGGTACCACAACAGCAAGGGGTACAAGGATACTGGAAATGTGTGAAAAGAGAAAGCATTAAAGGAGCAAAAGAAGTCTGGAAGCAAACTGGGAAAAGTCCTTTCTAAAACAATTACTTGTTTTTCTTTATCATTATAAATGTCATGGGTTGGGGTTTTCATGTATTTCTAGTTTATATGCTGGCTGAATCATGTGCATTTTATGCAACTTTTAAATATTTAATCCAATTTCTGATATTAATTTTACAGTATTTATCAATATAATCAGGTTTGCCTGTGGAACTGTTGTGACATCTAGCTTCTGTACAGAAAAGTACACTCCATTCCAGGAAATGCTAAAGTTTACAAAAATGGGTATTGGCAGAATACCTGTGTGGAGAGAGACCCTGCTCTCTAGCATGCGGGATACCTGAGTTTTAGAGCTGTTCACTTGCTGAGTATACTGCAGAAGTAACATTTGCAACCTGAAAATGGAAGACCAGTAACATAGCAATGTCATGCAACCCAAAATATACCTACCAAGTTTCCTTTACAAGGATTGGGAGTTATAAAGGCACAGACTAATTGCACAATCCCTCTGAGATACAAAGTTTTGGTATTAAAAAAAAAGCTTGACTGTATTGTTTTGTGTGTCATCACTATTGCGAATGGCCCATAATACATATGAATGTACATTTGTTTGCTGTTTTGGTAATCGGATTAACATATCTCAATCAAAACTGGAAATGTAAGATTGTTTACAGAGACACTGAAAATTGTAAATGCTTTGTGAAAGTGAATAGGCTCCTTAAGACCTCCTCAACAAACAGAATAAATTAGAAAACTGAAGTAAAGACCTTAGTCATTTTTTAAGATTCTACTCTGAATTGCTTGCAGTTGTCTTAAATCACCTTGCTTTATTATAATGTGGTGGCTCAGTATTTAACAAAGGGACCACCACCTTTGTCTATTGGAGTCTTATAATTATTTTTAAATAGTTTTTTTTTAATCTTCACAAAGGTATCATAGTGAGCCTACATTATCTCAGGAGCCCAAGATTACCAAGGCAATGTCAGGAAAGTACAAAGGTAGACAAAATTAAAGTATTTATTACAATACAAGCAGCATGTAATGAGATACAAGCCCTTAAATAGTGAGCGAAGGAACAGGTTTATGTGTAGGTGTACACATGCATAATTGTGATGTATATTTTTGGTTGGCTTCTGTAACTTTGAGACACCATTAGCTTTCTTTCCCAATCACTGAAGGCTGGAAACTAATCCTGTTTATAAAGGCTCCAGACTTCTCACCCCATTTCCCACCTTATCCTGACCCAGATTAGAAAGTTAAGGCTTCCAAAATGGCTGTCTTTCTTGTATTAACACTTCCCAGCCTGTCTTGTGAGCATGTCTCATAAAAAATTAGGCTGTGAGCAAATGCCTGCCCTCCTTTTAAATATGACTATTCACCAATTTCCAGGTAGTTTTCTCTTCACTGCATTTGAGCTCTTCAAGGTGTCTTACAAGTTCTTTTCCTTTCCTGGACCTTCTAGAGGAGCTGGATACCAAGACTATCCTGAGATAGAGAACACCAAGGACCCCTAATATGGGATTATCATTACTCACCCTAGAAAAGGTAATAGACTAATACTTAAAGAAACCATAACTTAATTATGCAGCCCTCCCAATGTTGCCTAAGCATGCTGAAACACAAGGAGAAAACAGCAATGCCACCAGTCAGCTACCGGTGTCCTGGACATGAAGAGGCCATCCAGTAGAACAGCATCATAACCATCCTGCATGGCCTTTCTCCAGAATCAGACACCAATAACCACTCCTGTGCTGCCTCCAGGAAGCTACAGGGTTGAAATGAAACACTGAAATGTCTCAGTTCCTCTCTCAAACTGAATCCACAGAGTTGTTTGGCCAGCAAGATGTCTGTTTATAAATATTTGGGAGATGCTCAGATATTGTGATGATGGGGAAGCCATAACTGTCTATGTGGAAGATAGCTAAAGGGGTGAAGCTAGGCACTATTTTGACAGCAGCCCTCCCCCTGCAAAAAAAGAAAAAAAAAGAAATTACATGAAGATTTGTCCTTATAGGCACAGGAAGTTCCAGACCACTATGCTACCAAAGCACCCCTCTTAGGACATTGAAAACAGAGCCTGGAAAAATAGGACAGAACCAAACAGCCCAATGCTTCTCTAAGATACTTTCTCCAGTGTTACAGAGGAGAACAACATGCCCCCAGATATACCTTTGTTTAAGTTCTAACTTTAAGGCAGGAAGCCTTTCGATTGTCCACATTTATTTATAATTTTAGCTCATAAAAGTTGCAATTTGGGGGGATGAAGGTTACTTGTTTTCACTTTTATCCTGTGACTTAACACATTTTTCAATATTCTATTTTAATCTTTGTTGGGCTGCTTTTATTAAATATTTATTACTTTTTATGACTGAAAAATAAATTGGTCTATCTATCTATGTCATCTCTAGAAGCTTAATGCCTTCGTTTATATTTGGGTGTATGCAGTCAGCAAGGTAAGGTCTTGACAGCAAGTTACTAAAAAGTGAGATTTCAAATGTATAGGTCATTATAAACCAAAGAGTTTCTAATAAGTTACATATAAAGTTGAAGCTCAGAGGAAAATGAATAAAGATGCTACAACTTTTCCTACAGATCAGGAGAAGGCAAAATATGGCCCCGTGGGCCAGATCAGGCCCACCAATCTGCCCAATCCAGCTCACCACCATCCTGTGGTCCAGTGGGAGCATCATGCAGGCTTCCTGCCTGCCACACCTCCACATGCCCCGCAAAGCAGGCAGCTGCAAGAGCCATGTGCTCTGTGCATGCCATGCGCTAGGGAGAAGCACTTTGCACACTGCCTCTTCCCCACCACAATCATGTAGTTGGGAACTGCCTGGGCCATGCTTGCAGCTCGGGCCGTGTGTGGAGGTCCCCTTCAGAGGGCACGCTGTGCACAGAGAGCACATGGCCCCAGAAGACAGCCATTGTGAGCAAGGGGCACAGCAGACAAGGAGCCTGCCTGAGGGTCTGTCAGCCGACGGTCAGCGCAATGAGTGGTGTGTGTGTGCTATACACCCGAGACTTCAACTGCTGAGACCGGGGTCCCTTGCAGCGGGCAACCTGGAGGAGGTTGACGAGCGCCCCAATTCTGCCAACCGACGGTCAGGGCAGTGAGTGGTGTGTGTGTATACTATACACCTGAGACTTCAACTGCTGAGACCGGGGTCCCTTGCAGCGGGCAACCTGGAGGAGGTTGACGAGCGCCCCAATTCTGCCAACCGACGGTCAGGGCAGTGAGTGGTGTGTGTGTATACTATACACCTGAGACTTCAACTGCTGAGACCGGGGTCCCTTGCAGTGGGCAACCTGGAAGAGGTTGACGGGCGCCCCAATAAGTTTACAGGAAGAGCTTATTACACTTCAGATTTTAGCTGCTAGAATCCGTGATTCCTTCACAGCAGGCAGCCTGGGGGAGGCTGCGAAGTGCCCCAACGGATCTGCCACCTGGGAGTGACACAGATCCAAACGCCCAAGCTCTCCCTATATCTGTCCCTTAAGACCGGCTGAAGTTCTTTTAAATTGTGCCTGGTTCTGTTACAGCAACTGAAGGAGTCAGGTTAAAGCTTAAACAGTTACTATTTTATTGTTACAGGGTAAACTTAGTTGTTAAATGCTACTGCTGTGTTACAGATAACACAGCCACTACAAAGGACAGACAGAAATTACACTAATAAGTCACTTATAGGTACCATGACACCCCTTTGGTTCTCTGAGCTCTTATTAAATGCATGCAAAATAGACACATAGCAGGTATATATTCTCACCCCTGCGTTCCAGACTTGGCGTGGCCAGCGTCTTTCTCTCAATCCCTTGGGAAGAAGAGGAAAAATGGCTTTGAATGCCAAGTTTCCCACGAAGGGTGCAAAGCATAATTCACACCTGGGAAAATGCAGACAATGGGCACCTCTGGTATGTGATGGGCGAAGATTCCTCTCCTGGGACAGTGCAGGCGTGTCAATTACTGATACTAGTCATCAGGACGGCAGGAGGCCCCGGGTCGTCAGCCCATTTACTGTCTGGTTTCTGTTTATGGTAGAGTCAGGGACAGGCAGCACACCTGTGTTCCCAGGGCATCAACGGCTGACTGCCTTTCTCTTGCTCTCTGGGGGGGGCGGAAACCAAGATGGGGTTCGTGTCTGGCTACAGGGTCCCACTGGGCTGCTGCCTGGGAAGCAGCCTAAGGTAAGTGCCTCCCAGCCAAAACCTACACCTGGTCTCCCTCACACCAGCTCCCTGTCCCAGGTCACAATCTCCTTCCAGACCCTGCATGCCCTCTTACATCCCTCCTCCAGACCAGAAACCTCTACTACCTTTATGCCCCCCTCCCAGGCCCTACACCCCAATCCCCTGCCTCAGGTCACAACCTTCTCCTACCTTATGTCACAATCAAAACACCTGCACCTCTGCCTCAGGTCAGAACCCCTTCTCTCACCCAAACTCCCTCCCAGACCCACATTACCTCCTGCACCTCAATCCACTATCCTGAGCTTCTTTCTATACCCAACCTCCACCCCAGACCCTGCACCTCCTCCATTAATATCATGGCCCTTGATTACTAAACAAATTCTTGGAGTGTCCCCATCAAATATTATCTACCCCTGCTATAGATTAATACAGTACATTTATAATAAGAAATGGGATAATCAGCCAGGAATAAAAATCCATCCAAAAATGTTTTCATAGGCCTGATGCCGCAAGTACCTGATAGGTATGTCTGCACAGCATATGAGAACAAATCTCCCAGCCTGTGTTGGCAGACTCAGGTACTTAGGGCTAATGCTAGCACTCTAAAAATAGCTGTATACACAGCAGTTTGTAATTGGGATGGAGCTTGGGCTCTGAAGCCTGAGCTTCAACTTTAAGGTGCTGTCTATGCTGCTATTTTTAGAGCACAAGCATGAACTCTGTTCACTTGAGTCTTAACTCAGGCTGGGAGGCTTGCTCCAAAATGCTGTGTAGATATGTCCACAGAGATCTCCCACTGAAATCAAAGGAGGCCTATGAATTAGGGTTTGAAGGTTTGGGCTCTGTTTAAAAATAGATTGAAAATGAATTTGCTTTCACTAGCAAGTTTTTAAACCATCTTGAATTAACATCATAAATTGAAAACATTATTTTTGTGAACACTTAAGTCATCCTTTCCTTATTAGACAATCCTCAGTGGGTTCTTTAAAACTTAATTTAGCTCTTACGGGAACTAAACCTGCTGCAGTAACTGCATAGTTTATTTTCAAACTGTATGTCAGCATAATCCAACATATACTTTCTAATCTCTTTGTATGTTAAACCACTATATTAATTAAACATGAGAATTACTACTTTAATTGGTTCTTACTTTATAATCTGGCTATGAACAGCAATTTATAGAAAATTTAATAGAATCTAATACAATTTGAAAAATATCCTTCAAAATTTGGGTTATATATTATGGTGACAGGTGCTAGAGAAAATGCCACGGGGCATACATTTTGTTTCTGTAGTGCCAAAGGCTGACTTACTCTTTCTCAAAAAGCACAAAGTGTTAAGATTTCTTTCAGTTATGATGTAATGTGGGTCTAAATTGTGGTGTTATCAATTATGACACCTCTATTTGCTAGGCATTGCAAGAGTTTGGTAAAACCATGTGAAACTTATATACAAATGCACTAGAATGTTTAGCTTGATCCAGTTTTGAGCCTTCAAATCTTGCAGCAAAACTTTCTGCTGTTGCTGAAAAGGAACAAACATCGAGTTCTACAGTTTCATTTTGATTTGGTAATAAAGTTTTGAGTGAATCCAAACTCTTATGAAACCTCACCAAACCATAACTAATACCATAGATCCAAACCAATAGCATGCAGTGTGGTAGCGAACAAATCTTGATTTTGTTTGGAGAGTCATTTTTACTGTGAGGGTTTATACAAACCAATTCCCAAAAGTGAAACTCCTAAAGCCTCCTAATAAAATGGACGATACATCAAATCCATTTTTATAATGAACTGTAGTATTTCCCCATAATGACCCTATTGACATTGAACAATGCATAGTGATTAAAATGAGACATAACTTTATTATTTTTATGTTCTACTGATAATGTTTATTGAATAGATAATTTTAACAAGGGGAAACAATATGTTCATTAATTTTTCATCAGTTGCAACGCTTATATTGAAGGAAACACCATTTGTCTACTAAAGTAGCTACTTGGGATCTATATCACTGTTCACTGTCTAGAATCCTTTGTACACCTAAAGAGGGGAAAGTGAGAGAATGAAGTCAAGACAGAGTTACATTATTACTACTTCTGTGCAATTTGACATCTTCAATGTGTCCTACAAAATTAATTATTGTACAATAACATGCATGAACATAATCTGATCTAGATGTAGAGTAAATTGTTAGTAGTTGTTTTAGCCATACTTTGAATGATTCTGAACCATGAATGGGTCCACAGATTCACATGTAAGTTTTTAGAAAAAACTGAGTTTTTTATGCCACAGTTTGTGGGGAGGGATTGCAAACATGTTGTACTATCAAATGTAATCTTTTATAATGAAACAAAGCAAATTTTGGTAAAAAACACTCCAATGAAGAAAGCAAGGTCCCGCAGCCTCTTTGAATAGAAAATATGTTGTTTAATGATGGCATGGTCATTATAAGTCATTAGCAAGCTGACCTAGCTACAGCTTCTGAAATACAACTGATCGCAAGAGCAACATGCAGATGATGACAAACATAGACATACACTGTTAGCATCCAGCCAAGCAAATAAATTCCTCCTAGAGAAACTGAAGATGTGACCCAACAGGAGGTGAAACAACCCATTCACAATAGGAAACCTGAGAGACCATGGCATGTACAAAATTAATCTGCAAACAAGGGCACCTTTCTTCACTCTCCTACTATTGGAATGTTTGTTACTGTCCTTGTTGATTAAACAATTCCTAGTTGGTTCAGTAATGTAAAAATTAATGTGACACACATGGAGAAAGATGCCCCATTAGGCTAGCACAGGCTTAGTTAATGGTTGTTCAGTTCAGTAACAATAGCCCAGTAGTGCAGAACTCTCCTCGCTCTCATTAGTAACTATTCTGCTGTTCAAGCAATCTGGCATCCAGAAGCCTGGATCTTATGAGCAGAGTGCCCACCTGAATGGATATTATTAAATAATGACCTAGTTCTTAAAAGGCCGTAAAATCCAGAATTTTCAAACCTCTGCACCAAAGTCAAACACCTAACACCATATTTAGGCCCTTTAATGAAAGTGCCCTGATTTTTCCAAATTACTGAGAACCTATAAATAACTTTAAAGTTAGTGTGGGAGCTGACCTAGGTTTGAAAACTTTTATCTTTAACTAGATCTGAGGAAGACCCCCTTAGAAATCATGTGTTTTCTGTTAAATTA